AACGTTGCTTCAACTCATCATTGCTGACCAAGCTGGAAGACCGAAGGTCTTCCTTATTTTCCTCCTTCGTTATCTACACGCCCTGTAATATCAAAGCTAAAATATCTCTCCGTTTAACTCCAAAAGAATGAAACACAGCTTTTAAAAATGATTTCACATCCACTGGCATTTAGTAATAAATGAAACTTAAAGCTATTTTACTTCACATCATGTGGTTTATTTGTACCTGAACTCCTGACGACCTGCTGAGGCAGAAACTTGTAGCTGATCTTATTTAACCTTAATGTGACAGCTGATGAAAGGTCACATGATCAGAATAACGCTTTATTCAGAATTAAAATATGCTGATCATTGATCCTATCATGGAACCAACATTTTAGAAATAATTCAAACAGTAAAATATTAGCAATACAAACCATGTTGTCAGTTTTGGGGTTTACAAAAATCATCTGTTGGAATTTATTGTTAGAATAAATTGATTATCACAATGAGCTTTTATTCTTGGAAATCAATGATTTTTTACACATTTCTCCCAACATTAATAATTAAAGACAACTCACTGCAGGGAGTCTGGAAACAAAATTTTAATGTTTTTATAAGAGAAATTAGAATCATTTAAAATCAGACCCAGCGGGTCAAACTTTGATCAAACACTAAAGATTTGAAATCGCTCATAAAAATAAAAATCAGCACATCTCCAGTATCACCTTCACAGCATCTCATCCAAACAAAGCAGACAAATGTGCAAATATTATCAACCTCTGTGAGTTTTAATAAGTGTGTTTTTTATGTTTTTCTTCTTTTTTTTATGTGATATGAATCCCAGATACTAGACTAGCTTCAATTCACAGATCCAGTGGAGGGAATGGGTGCACTGTTCGTCGTTCCAGCTGTTCTCCAAATTGAAAGACTTTATGTTCCCACAGTTCTCCTGTGTTTTACCATTTGGCTCACCAGATGACCAGTAGCTAAAAAAGAAGAAGAAAAAAACTTCACTCAATAATACAGACCTTAGCAGAACGGTGAAAAATTAATGTTTATGTAGTAAAGAAACAAATTTACGTTGGGTTAACTTGACTCCCGTCTACCCATTTCCATATTCCGTCTGTTTCTTGATCAGTCAGTCCAATCCACATGTACTTCTGAAACTTGTTTCCAAAAACCTTGGAAAATAAATATTTACTACATTAAAACAGCAAGCGGCTTTGCTTGGAATAGTGGAGAACAAAATTATTCACACTCCTGGCAGATTCTTGTATTTCAGTTCTTAGTGATCAATCAGTGGTGAAAAAAGCAAAGTTTTTAGGAAAGTTTGATTTCTGTCACCTTAATCTCTTGCTCCGTCTCCAGTTTCTCCACTGTTGTGAAGTTAATTAACATTAATTGGAGTCAGAAGAAACATGTGGATCAGGCTGAAATATCACATTCAACCTAAATCTGCCAGGCGTATGAATGAGGATCATAAAGAGAAGTAAACACACACCTGTTTGCTTCTGCTGTTGATGACCATCAAGTCTGCACCTTTTGACTGACAGTACCTCCTGCTCTCTTCCCAGGTCTTCTTGCCATAAGAAACGTAGTATGCACTGCCTTCAAAAAGCTCCCATCCTGGTTTATCTTGAAGGATAAAGAGACAATCTTAAATTCCCGATAGTTAAGGGCTCAAAGGACAAAAGAGAAAACCAAAATGTTTAAGTAAGCTAAAGATTGGCAGAAGTATGAATATGAAGCAGACCAGACAGGAAACATCTACGTTCATATTAAAGCATGAACATCAGGGCCTCATTTACATAGAACAGCACGTACTTTAGTTCCCCCAAACTGTACCTCACAATGAAAAAAACCCCAAAACAAAACAAGAAGATATGATTTACAGCAATTACATGATGACTATGATAAAAAGTGTGAAAAAATTAACAATATAACCGCTGAAAATGTGTTATTTGCACATGAGTAATTGTATATTTTATTAGATATTAAGACATGGTGACTGCATGAAGATAATCATGTGTTCCTGCCATGAATGTAGGCAATGTTAACACTAAACACTGACAGTGGGAATGTGCAGACCACTAAGAATATCA